CGAAAAATACTACAAGTTGACTCAGAGCTGAATATTATAACTTTAATGCATGCATAAGAGCCAGGTTAATACTGATACATGGTGCTGTTAATGAAACACAGACAGTCATACTAAACTCTATCATTATAAAAGCAAAATAATACTAACAGTAAATAAAACAACTGTAACTCCTGAAATCCAATCCTAACAAATCCATGATGTTTGAAAAATACCTCCAGTAAAGCACAAATCACACCTTTATGTGGCTTGTCCTAGAGTAGTTTGGCACTTTGGTAGTTTGTTCCACTGTGAATGTAACTTCTTTTGTTTACAAGATCCAGCTGCTGCAAAAATATTTTATTTTATTTCATAAAAGCACTGCTGCTACTGACGGTTGCATTTTTTGTTTGCTTTGCATTTGTACAAACAGTTCAGTCATATAGTGACACTGCATGTGCTTTGGTCATGGCTGTACTTTTATTCTAATAAAGGAAAAAGCAGGGGCTCCTTAATTTAAAAGGAAAAGCATACAAAATTTATTAAAGGGCATTTTAAGATTTTTTTTCTTCATTTTTTTAATTCTGTGACAAATATCGTATGCTCTGATCCCTCGAAGCTGCACACTTGCGCAATCGCGCACTGCTCCCGCGTTCTCCACGCACAGCAAATCTATGCAGCGCATAAAAAAAAATCCAACCTGAACTATAAATAAAATAAGCATATAACAATTTTATTTTTCAATGCAACTCAGTGGGTGACAAGTGACAACAAGCAGTAATTACAGTAAAACAATGACTAACACTGTCCAGCCAATGATATGATGCGGTTCGTACGTATTTACTTACGCAGCCAATCAATGTCATTAACAGCGCTTTATGCGTATGTGCCCCTGTTTTGCATTAGCTATATGCTGCACCATTAGCATATAGCTAATGGTGCAGCAGAGTTAAGAGATGTAAGTGCTGCTAAGCTAACCCCTTACTATGGCGAAACGAATGGACAGTGGCACATCCACTCACCAAGCCAAAGTAAAAAAAGAAATGCAGTTCTTTTAAGATGGAATGGCTGTCGGAGTATGTGCGAACAGAAGAACAAGAGGTGAAACTGGGTGAGATGTTTTTATTTTCGAGTGAGAAAGGGCTGAAGTGAGAAGGACAGATGGGAAAAATAAGGTGAAATGTAAGCCCCTGATCAGATTTGTGCTTATTCTAGTGTCATTTATTAAGAATTTTTATTTATGGATATTAATCATTAAATCCTGTTTCTAGATTATGAGTAGTAGAAATACTAATAAAAAACTAATTATATACAGTATTTTACAGACAAAGAATTACAGGAATTTACACTGTATCACATGCTTGTGCTGCAGCACACATCTCATTTTGCAAAATGTGAATGTTTCAATGTGAACAAAATTTGATCTCTGAAAGGTGTACATATCTCAATTCTTCCAGAGCAGGATCCTCACCCTGACATACAACATACTATACAGCTCATGAAAAACAAGATTGTCTTTTTCATTGTAAGTGAGCCAAATCACTTATACTAAAAGTAATCTAACGGAAATTACTGCTGTAATTTGATTCTTTTAATAAGCCATGTAACTTGTTATGAGCTCAGGTTTTGGACAGGTGTGATACTGGTGTGGCCACAGTGTGCACATCTGATGTTGCTCACACTGGTCCAAGAAATTCTCAGGGATTTTGTGTGTATGCTCAGACATATAAAAAATTAGGGGGAACATCGATCGTATGGTAGTGAAAAACAGAGATGGTTGACTTTGGCCTCTCTTGGACTTGGGTTTAAAGCACAGCCCACCACTGAAGTGACTATTAGATCACAACTTTATTCCACATATCGAAGGTGTGGTTATCTAAATCAAGAAATACAAATAACAACAAATGATGAAATGATATTACACAATCGAACAGGTACATCCCAAATTAACCATTTCTGGGTAACATACGTGTCTATATGACCTGATATCGCAAAGGAAACAGACCGTGGAATAGTCTCAAAACAGCCACAGAAGGGCGTTCTAAGTCTACATAAGTAACACTAACGGATACATAAGACGTCAATTCTTTAACGTAAATCGGCCTTTTTTCTTCTTATTACCAACACAGAATACAGCAAACTTTACTCACGTTCATGGACGCACACCAGAATGGGGGTAAACTTGGTAATACATTCCGACTAACTGGAACTCCGAACACAATGATATTTAGCCGCTCACACGGTGGATGATGTGACACACGCTGAGAACTGGAACATACCACTCGCGGGGGGAGAAACAAGAGGGGAGGAAAATGGAATAGTCCAAGTGACATTACCCTTTTAACAGGTAGATTTTTTATCGTGGCAATATTGTACCATTAGTTTTTTGTGTTGTTACATTCCTAATTGACAAAATGTTCATTTCTAAAGGTACAAAACTGAAAAGCTAGCGTTAGCTTGTTAATGATGCTGACATATACATGTTAGCCAGCTACAGTATTTGCGCATCTAGCAGGAAGAAAGCCACATCTGGGTCACATTTTAGTCTTTTGGATGTTTTTAGTGCTCTCCATTTCCAATATACCAAACCAATGTTTGGTTTTGCCTCATTCTTTGTCGCACTCTTTCTGTGCTACAGAATGCGGCCACTTGGGTCTAACATATCCGCTCCCATCCTGGGTTGGACCTGCACAGGGAGCCTCCAAGGTCTGTCTTTGAAATCAGCCATACTGGTTTTTACCCAATTCACATGCTTTTTTCTGCTCCAGAAGAAAAGCGTGTGAATGGTGTAAAAATAGGTAAGTGATTTAGAAACTGCAAAATATGTAAGGATTATGTTTTAGAGATAGGGTGCAGTGTTTGGTGTTGGGTAAAATTATTAACAAAGCTATACTCTAAGGATTGGTTCTAACATTTGATTGAATTAAGTACTTATTTAGTAGAAGATTGACACCATGACTGTTGTTCATTTAACCTGTGTGTTCACTTTGTTTGTGTATAACTATTCTATCATATTAAGAAAAGGGGTAGTTAAGATTATATTTTGGAATACATAAGTTTACATACTTGCATGTCACAGATATGTTTATGAAGTTACTATTCACCAAATAATATGTTCAACAACATAATGAGAAAATAAGTTACTGTATTGTAGAAAGAAATTCTTGATAGAATGTTATAGTGCTATGTTATGTATTTGCAAAACTGTTCAAATAATTGTTTAATCTGTTTGACCTTTGTAAAGACTTGACATGTGGACATGAAATGCTGTGTGTCTAAGTGCAGAGATTCAGAACAACAGGAAGTGTGCAGATACATATTGAGATGACTAAACTGTCTGCACGAGAATTGTGTGTGGGTGTAAGGTCTCATTGTTTTGACCTTATATTATCAACATTTATCAACATTATATGAAATGCGTGGCCTTCTAGGA